TACGTTAGGTGTAAATTTCGCTGGCGCTTCTCAAAACGAGGGAAGCGCGGCGTACACTGCACCACCCTATCTAGCTACTCTGTTCCGGCCAACGGTGCGCCAAATTAAACTCGCAGATAAAGAACCTCCCGTGCATAAGCCCGTGGACATTTCACGGAAGACGAACAATCGGGGTTACATCGCGCGCGCGCACGTTTCGTCCTACCGCCAAGGTCCGGCTTAGCGGTATAGACTTTGACATTGTTGCGCGGCTCCGCGGCACAATGGAGGAGAGACAGTAGGGGTGTTTCGCAGAATTACGCACGAACAGTGGACGGGTTAGGTCGCGGTAGGGCCATTGTATCATCTCTCCCGGTGTGTTACGGCGAAATGTTCGAACGCTTTCCACACATCCCGATGTGACTTCATTTTCATAAATACCACCTCGCGCCTCCGAATTGTCCAACCTCAGCAATCCGACGGCTGATTCGGGGATAGTGGTGTCCAGTGGTGTCCTCGTCCAACTTTATAACCGCATCACGATCGCGTTTGCTTTAGCCGTGACACGAGCACGGTCGACCTTCCTCGATCGAACTCGCTTCTAACGCCAAGGATGCGCTCGTCCTTCAGGCAGTTTAGTCGAGAAGTGAGCGCATCGCTTCTTTGTAAGAAATAACAGGAAAGACGGACAAGCAAGTTTCTTTTCTACCTGCCTAACGCACCTTAAACGTCGAAACGGAATAAAAATCAAGTTTCGAGTGACACGGACGAAAAGAAATGCATTAAATTAGATAATGTGTAAAATGTGTAAAAAATTGGAATTAAATCAGTACACGAGCCATATGAGAAATAAATGAGCAAAGTGGGTGACAACAAAGATATCGAGCTCGTAACTTATAAGGCCAGTAGCATACAAAAAAACGTGAGCAGTAAGACTTAAGCGGTAAGCAAATTGATCGGCCACAATCGATTATTCTCCTTATAGTCACGAATAATCGATCGTGATTGGTCAATTTTCTCACTATTTATATTTTTCTATGCACTCCTAGCCTAATACTTTCAAATCATCAACGTTACAGCATTTTTGTTTGCTCATTGCTCTGTTGTATCCTATTTCGTGTTTTGCGTATGTTATTCTTGAAATTTATTTTATCTCATAAATCCTAAGTTCTCTCTCTCTCTCTCTCTTTCTCTCTCGGGTACGAGGCACGTGGACACGGACTGCGGAAGAATAGCGAGGGTGGCAGCATCCCCGGCGACGTTTATCGAATTTTTCGCGAGGCCACTTAGATAATTCGCAGCTAGGGGGTCTACGTAAGAATCGATCATTCTCCGACATCGCGAGAAATTTAATGGCTCGTGGCTGGCTACGCGCCGGTACACGATGAAGAGGGAGAGACAGAGGGAGATAGATAGATAGATAGAAGGGCCGGGATCTCTCCCTCGTTACTATCGACAGATATACGATGCGGCTGGTCTCATCATGCGGCGTGATTTATTGCGGAATAACAGGCTCGTAGTGTCCCCTGCGCTCAGGTAAGGCGCTCTAACAATGTCCGGGAACACCTACGAATTAAGCGGGTAATAATGGCGAGGGCTTGGAACGGGGTGCGAGAAGAGGCCGGTGACCATGCCGTTTCTTCCCCGGTCGGGCTTTAGACGATCGACTCGACGCCTTCCGAACGCGAGCACCGATGTTTTAGGATCGATTTGCCCGCAGCGTGTTTACATTGCAAACACTCCGACAAGAATGCCGGCCTTGTAAGAGGGCCGCTAATGCTCCACCCCGATGCCTCCGCCCCGACGAAATCCGCCGAGCGATTTCCTCTTTTTCTCGCCTTTTTTCTCACTTTCTCTTTCTCTCTCTTTCTCTATCTTTCATACCCGCTATCGCTGACTCGCCCGTTTTTGCGCACAAAGTCAATTTTTGTTTATAAGTGTGACTTTAACATTCAACGTCTCGGGCGTTTGCCGTGAAAGAAACAGATCTCGCGTAATCTCTACGCGAATCGATTTTGTTTGTTAGTGCCGTTTCACGTAAATTAATACGCTCGATACGCGAAAAGCGTCGCTCCGCTTTTTACGTTCCGCGTGATCTTCCGCGGTGGATCTTCATTTCGCATCAACATCACTCTGAGCGATCTATCGCGGGCATTCTCGTCGACAACATTATTCGAACTTGTATCCTTTTTCTCTTTTTTCGTCGTTGCGTGTGACGAAGTTTTCTCATCCATTACGCATTCGCAGATTTGTTGTGATTTTGCAACTCGTCCGCTGTTTTCCCTTCTATTTATCAATCTCTCTCTCAGCCGCGCATCAGTCACTAACACACTCGTCTTCTACGCCTCCGTGTTGAGGAGGACATGTCCAATTGGGTGGTGGATTCGGGAATTCGGGACTCATTATCCGTCTCGTCGACGACGTCCAGCTCGACGCCAGCCGCCGAACGTCGATCGATGGCTAAACGCGGATGTGTCAATTTGCGATATTATGCGGAACGCGCGGCGGCCGCGTGTAAACGCGCGCCGAGGACGACGGCGGTAGACGCGAGGACGAGCACGGGCGGCGGTGGCGGCGGCGGCGGCGGCGGCGTTGACGCTGGCGGTGGCGGCTGTGGCGTGGGTGGGTAAGGGAAGAGGGGGAGGGGGAAGAGTGCGGGATGAGAGAGTCATAAAATCGAGCGAAGTGAACGCCAGGAGGGAGACACTGAGTGATGTCGGTGACAGCCGCCCGCCCTCCTCCTCTCGTCCTCCTGCAACCGCCTCCTGTCGCTATTACTCACCGAACGCCGAATACCATTCAAAGTTCGAAACCGCACGTTCGCGACCCAATTCCTACGCGGAGTCAGCTGTTCGGTTCATTCAAAGCTTGATCGAGCGCCGCCGGGCGCTTGGCGCGAAACGTCGGCGAAATTATGAAAAAAAAATAAAATAAAAAAAGGATCGGAGGGGAAGAGAGGAAGCGCACGCGTGCAGTCGGTGTCGATAGTTTCGTTTATCGGCTAACCTCCGCACGGATTCATCCACACGCAAGGTGAAGGCGATATAATGCAATGTACACGGTGGCTGTCGAAAACGTCGACGCGACATTCGGACGGGGGATCCGTCGGCACAAAGAGGTACAGAGATTTTTAATTGCTCCGCTGCCACCATCGCCTGTGATGATTTTGCGAAATTCGGTTCGACGGGAGTTTAGGCGTTAATAAAAGCCGGCACTTTGCCTGCCACATGATGCGGCACGTACAAGCATTGGCGTACAGGTATGCGCGTATGCGCGCTCGTGCACGTATGCACAGTTATCCGTCACGTCGCGCGCGGGTAAAATATAGGAAAATTTACACGAAACAGTACTTCGGATACGGTAAATGCCGCGCAAGAGTCGACGTTCGACACGCGCGCAGCGAACACCGGGCCAGCGGGGGTTTCCACCTCGCGAATTCGCGCGATCGTCATGCGCGCGGCCTTAATGTTTCGTCGTTATGCGCTGAATGCGATACTAAAAGGATAATTTTTCGTTCCCTCTCCCCCTCTCCTCTCTCTCTCTTTTTCTTTTTGTGTCTTCCCGAAGTATTATCTCTAGTGAAAATGATGTCTAATAACATTTCACCTAAACTCTTTTTTTCACAAAGAAGAATTCTGGAACTCTTCAGAACAAGAAAAAAAGTGTTATTAGACATTTGATACTCTCTCTTACTCTTTCATTTCCGCGAGGGCTCACATCGCGCGATTAATCGTGGGACTTGCTTCGCCCGACGGCGAACGACGCGAGCCACGTCCTGCGATTTACGAGCGTTTCGAAGGGTTTGTCTTGTCAAACAGGTCTCTGAACGATGAAGAATCGTTCTCGGCGCCAATTATAGAACCCAACGTACCGGTAAACCGAGTATTCGTTGATTGTTTATTTACACGCGAGACCATAATTTTGAGCTAGGTGTTTTGCGGCAGATTTAGATAATTTTGTAATTCAGGTAGACGACTTGAGAAAGGTAGAGGTCGATAGGTAAACAGATGCGAAAAGCGGCGGGCCCGAGCCGGCGGCTTTCACATCTCTTGCACGGAGCGACGGATTTGCTGCCAAGAACTGCTCGACGCGCTGACTGTCAGTTCCTGCGCTCGTGTCCGCTCGAGTATCTTCGGCTTCGCTCGCGCCGTGCGCGCAGAAGGGGAGTAGTCCCGAAAGCGCGGTGTCAAAATGCGCGCTCATCGTCCTGTGAGCGCGCGTCGATCACCGACGGTAAAGTCCACGGGCGACGTGGTTACGAGAGCAGCATTAGTTTCAAAGTCAAATGCATACATACACATATATACACACACATAGAGGAGTTTGTGTAGCCACGACACTCATCATCACTTTCGCGCGTTAGTAGTTTTCTCATATCCACGTTGCACCGAGTTTTTTGTATGTAACAGTATAATTTATTGAAAAATATCGATCAAGGCACAACGATGAGTTGGCGCGAGTAACGACAACGAATATCGTGAGAAAATCATACGTGAGTTATTCCGTCTTGACGCGAGATCTCCGAGGAAAGCATCGTTTCTCAGTAACGAAGCCAAAAGCATGTATAGGACCACGTGTATTCTCATTTTAATCCTCGGAGCACTCTCGAGAGACGGATGCGAGGGAAACGTCTGGGCTTGGCGCGCACCAGGGTCGAATCTCTCTCGTAGCATCTCGTTGCATTTCGCGGACGACATTCTCCTGCATTCTCGTATCCGTCCTAGGCTCGATGACGACGACGTCATCGTTGTCGTCGGTCTCGCGTCGTCGTCGTCGTCGTCGTCGTCGTTGTCGTCGTCGTCGTCGTCGTCGTCGTCGTCGTCATCGTCGTCGTCGTCGTCGTCGGTCGTTGTTGTTGGTAGTGGTGTAGCGATGGCGGAGGATCCTGTGTTTCGCGGTCTCACCACCGTGGCGCTGAACCCGCGCGTGCTTCGCCAGGTCGCGATGGGCGGGCCCAGGGGGCGCATTGGCCGCGTTTGGTAGGCGTGCCGGCGAGTCTCCCACTCCAGGACGTAGCGCGGCGCTGATTGACAGTTGGCGAACGACTGCGGACGGCGCAGGATCTAAAACCGTGCTAGGCGCTGCTCTCCACGCTCGCTCGCGCTCCGCTCGCTCTTCTCTTACCCGTGTGATCTACCCGGTCGCTTTTTCGTGGGGGAAACCTGAAACACGCATATCCCCGTGGCTGCCTACGACCCGCTGCGCGCCCGCTTACGTGTAACACACTACGAACGAACCTACCACCTTCTCTGTCCGCCGGAGTTACGAGTGCCACACGCAGTAGTAGTCACGGTCAGGGAGGAGGGTCGCCCGCCGTCTCGCGGACAACTCTCGCTGTGGTCTCCTCTCTCGACTCGCGTCCGTTCGTTCGTACGTTCGGTGAATCTTACGGTGATAGCCGTGCACTTCGTCGTGAGTAGCAAACGCGTCGGATCGTGTCGCGTGGTGCCCCATCATATTGTTGTCGTTCCCTTCCACGTAGCACACGCGTTTCGTGCCCCCTGTCTTTCTCTGTGTGTGTCTCTCTCTCTCTCTCTCTTTCTCTCTCTCTTTCTCTCTCTCTCTCCCGCGCTCGTTCGTGCTCTCTCGCTCGCTCGCTCGCTCGCGTAATCGGTAGTTCCCGTAACGTAACCCTCGGTTCGCGCGCGTGATATCGCTTCGAAAACCGGCGCGACGTAAAGGCGGCAACCTCGGAGATACGTATCGCGGCGGGATTGCCGCGGTGGCAACGTCGCCGCCACTGTGTGTGTCTTCGCGAGTTCGCGCTCTTTCGCGTAACCTCGTCCGAGTATCCGCTAGAGGCTCGAGCGCGACATCGGTTGACTGTGCGACGGTGGTGCGATCGTCATCAGTGCTTGCGCGCCATTGACGCCCGTCGTCGTCGTCGTCGTCGGCGGGGCGTCATCGTGGCTTCCACATTCTCGTGCTGGTGTCGTTAACTGGAGGATGTAACGTGTTCTGTCAGTGACATCATCGGTGATCATCGGTTGTTCATGTGCTACGACGACACACAGTGATAGAAACGATACGACACAGGAGAGACCGTCCTGACGCGCCGCGTCTCGCCTTATGTGAATGTGTCAAGTACACGGAGAGTGGACGGAAAGAGAACACGACTCGGCCACCTTTCCTCGCCTTTTCCTCGAGAAGCCACCGACCGAGAGGAAAACGCGCGCCGTCTCGATGCGGCGCGTCCGGCTCGCAGGCCTCGCGACCACCTCGCGCGCCAACGCGCACTAGATGCATCCCCGACGACGCCGCGTCTGCCGTCGTCGAGAGAAGAATCGCTCGCGAGAGCTCGCGTCGAACGGCGTAGTCGCTGCTCCGCGACGTAAGGAGAGACAGTTGCGCGGCAATACGACACGTGGCTTACCGATATGCAGCACTGACGCGAGAGTGCGGGTGTGCGAGACTTTACCAGAGAGAGTACGCTTGCCTGCGTACCAACGTTCCTAGACGTCCGAGGCGAGTGTCACCGCCGTCGCCGCCGCCGCCGCCGCGACCTACGACGATGATAATGAAGAAGCACGTGTCTCCGCTCGCAGACGTCGTCGCCGTGGTTCTGCTGCTATCGCGAGCGCTCGCCGTGCTCTGCTGACGCTTGTCCGCGACGTTCGTCCGTAACGATTCTCTCCCGTGAGCTGCTACCTGGCCGAGAGTGCGACGTCGTCTAAGTGAGAACACAAGCGGAGAGAGCAAATAGGCACGAAAGGAGAGACGAGTCGAACCCGGATACGAGATTCGTACGGACCGCATCTTTACGACGATTAGTTCGAAGGAGAAAAAAGGGAAAAAAGAAAAACTAACGACACACAGAAATAACTACGTTCTGTGATTGGCCGACGGCTATTGACACAGCCGGCAATTCGGTCTCGCTCATTGTTGCACGACGCTCAATTTTCGTGAAAGTCCGACGTCACGCAGCGTGTCGAAGCGTTTTTAGGCGCGTTAAACGCGCGCTCGACAGTGTCGACCGAGTGTAGTGAAGTGTCGAGGCTTACTTCCTTACACTGTGGGAAAATACAGCCGCTACGGTGGCTCAGCACGCAGAGTTCCCCGGCGCGGCCAGGGCGTTCATGGCGCAGCCAAGGGTATGTTTCACATCTTGGCATGGCACTGTCTCAGTATACTTTTGCGATTAACCGAGCAGACACCGGCGTGGATAATTGACAAGAGATATTTGAATCGAATAGTGTTTCCATTTTGAACTGATATGAATCAACAGAATCAACCTGTAAGTCTATAGAGAAATAGTCGCGGCGGTTTCGAGATATCTCGCGAGTTTTCTACGCGGTAATTTCCCGTAAAGTTCTCGTGAAAGTGCAGCGATATGATTGCGGTGTACTTGTTCCCAAGTGGCCTAAGTCGTTCACGGCGAAATTTTATGCTCCCCGAATGTCGCGTATCGGAGATATCCGGAAAGATTGTCGGGAGGTGAAAGGTTTTCATTATATCAAGCGGACAAGTGTCGGTCGTCGTTGAAAGCGCGCACGTAATTCACTCATTCGGCCGTCGGCAGAATTGCTTCTTCGCGCGGGGACTATGCTGTTCACGAGGCAGCCCCGAGAGTCGTCACTTGGCGTGAATTTTGTAAAATGGTGCTCTCTTCCCTCTCTTTCTCCTCTCTCACTGTCTCGCGCGGCTCCAAAGAGCCGGCGGGCTCTCCGATCTTGGGCGCGAACGCGCGAGCGTTCGCAGCTGGTGAATTTGAATTGAATATCGTCGCCGTGTCGAAAGGAAATTTACATGTGGGCCGCGCGGCGCTTTGTAACGCCGCTCACATCGCGCCGCCAGAGACAGAGAGGACGACAGTCGCACAAAGGGGCTGCATTTTTCCGGCTCGCCGAATGAGCGTGCTTTTTATTTCGCGCGAAATCCAAGCGAGTCGCGCGAAAGGGAGAGAGAGAGAGAAAGAGAAGGAGAAAGAACCTGCCGAGAAAGAGAACACGTCGGGAGACGGATTTGTGTTTACGGTACGTGCTGATTACACGTCGTAATCGACGGACGACTTTGACCGCGCGCGTAATTACGGCCGATAATCGTAACACAACACCGGGGAGTAAATTTCCTCTGGCCTCGATTGAGTGTGTCGCGACGCCTCACGGTCTCGATTCACTGCCGCGCTGACTTCGCCGCTGAATAGTCGCGCGGGATCAATGGGATCCGAATAGGGACCGTCTAACGAATGTTCGTTGCCGCGAGGTCATCACGGGGACAGCCGCGACCCGGAGGATCCTCATGGATTTCGAGCGCGTACGCCGACGTGCGTACTTTTGCGGAATATTTTATTCCGCCGCGATCTCCGTTATTTAGGAACGCGTTGGCTCTGTATCTTCTTCTTGTCTCTCTCTTTCTCTCTCTCTCGCTCGCTCTCCCTCGCTCTCCCGGAACTATGTGTCGCGCTCGCAAAGCGATCGGAAAGTGTTCCGTCAGATCACGCGGAGGATTGGAGTGTGTTGCTTTCGTATTGTCGTGTCGCGATGACAAACGCGTACGCGACATTGCGAACGCTTAATTGAAACAAACGCGTCGACGTTCCGTTGTGCTCAATGATGAAAAGGCGTCACGACTCCGAAACGCGCTTCCATTCACTGCGTCTCGCGCGATGTGTAACGTAACGTAACGTAACGCGTCGGACGTTAGGCCATTCCTTCGGCGTTTTAACATAGTAAATAATCGCGAAATTATACCAGCGATACGTGATCGCGCGTTAATTGAATTAAACGCGCGAGAGTGTCGCGCGAGCTCCCGCTCTTTGCAATTCAAAAGCGCCGACAGCGACAGACACACTCATACTGTCATAAAACTGTAGGCCATAAAACTAGGATACCAATAATCGCGTTAGAAAAGTACTTTTTTTTTTATTCGCGTAGTTGTCTAAACGGTATACAAGTGTCATCCGCCGAAAAAGGTTCGAGCAAATCATGCATTTATTGGCGCGTCAGTGAATTTTCACAAATTTTCCCCCGTCGCTCATCAAACTCCATTTCGCCTTTCTCGTGCTCTGCATTATTTTTAGCTTCGCACGACCGCGTGAAAATTGCCGCCGTTTCAACACCGAATTTTCAACGCTTGGATCTTGAATCGCTTGAGCGTGTTAGAGAGCTCCCGGATACAGATGTAGAGCTTTTACGTGTCACGAGACGTGCGAATTCCTCGGACTTTCCTTTGACCCTTCGACAAAAATGTTCGCTCTCCGATTGAAGTCTATATCGGGGAGACGTCAGTTATCTCTGGTGAAATGCCGCCGACGGGTGACAGAGTCCGCGTGAAATGCCAACGACGGGATCGCGCGTGAAACAACAACGATCACTGGTAAACGATTCTCGCTCGGAGCTTCGCATCGGATCGTCGCGTTCGCAGTGGCGACCTTTTTGACGGGAAATCGCTCGTCTCGTCGTCATTGTCGTCATCGTTTCCGAATCGATGTGCACAGAATGCCGGTGACGCTCTCGCTCGGCTCTCTCTCTCTCTCTCTCTCTCTCTCTCTCTCTCTCTCTCTCTCTCTCTCTCTCAATTTTT